TGTATGTTTACATATGTATTAAATTTTATTTAATAATTCATATTTGACTAGCATCTTGGGATCAATAAATTAATTAATTACATTTTTGAATGAATTTTTGGAATTGTGTATGCTAATGTCTATTTTAAAATTGCTTTTCTCTTTTTATTAAAATATAAAATTTAATTATTACCGTAATTAGCTAAAGTGCTTTTTGTTTTTTGAACGATGAGAAATATGAAATGAAATAAAAATAAAGTGGGTATGGACATTAAAAATGGACAATGTGGGCTTGAATGATATTACGATTTTGCATAGCCGAGGTGAAATGTAGTTTTTATGGCCGAAGTTGTCAAGCTTATTTGCAGTTTCAATCAAACGAATCAATATAAAAATCCTATGCTTGTGTGAACTATTGAACTGACTATCAACGTAGTGAAAAAAAGAAAAGCACCCAAAACAGTTTTAGAAGATTCGAATAGCATTTAGTAAATCATACAAGGATATAGCGACGATTTTATTTATGGGATAAGCAGATAAGAAGCAAAAGGTAGCATTAAATCGTTTGATGTTAAATTAATATTAAGACAGAAAATAAGAAACATTTTAGAATTAGAATTTTCTGAAATTCTCAAAAAAAAAAGTGCAAGGGTTTTAACTAAATGAAGAAAATAAGGTCGTATGGACTTAAAAACAGAGGCGCGAATAGGTGCCAGATATTTAGAACAATTAGCTTAACTTCCCATGTGTCAAAAACCTTAACTGGAATTGTACAGAGAAGGATAGAAAAATGGCGGAAGAACTACTAGGAAAAGATCAATGTGGGTTTAGAAGAAATAGAAGTACGCGGGAGGCCATTTTAGCTTTAGGGATAACAATAGAGAACGATAAAAAAAGAAAAGATTGCATACATAGGATTCGTAGATTTAGAAAAAGCTTTTGACAATGTTAAATGGGACAAGATGTTAAATATACTTAAAAATGTAGGGATGCGTTACGGATAGAAGAGTGATACTTGGTTTGTATAAAGAGCAAAAGACAGTTATAGAGCTTAGGCAGCAACGTAGAGTAGTGAATATTAGGAAATGGAGTCAGTAAAGGATACACAGCCACCGCTACTTTTTAATCTATACATCGAAGGCACAATCAACATCCTTAAAAACAGTACAACTGTAGGGATAGATATATAAGGGCAAAAGATTAATATGCTTAGATTTGCAGGTGATATAATAGGATTGCATTTACTAAGGAGCTTTAGATAAAATGAAGGCGGTATTAACAAGACAGTACTCTATAAAAATAAATAAAAGTAAAACAAACATACTGGTATGCAAGGGAAGAATAAGTAGGGCAAATGTAAAGATAGATGAAAAATTAGAAGTGGCTGATTTTTGGTATTTAGGAAGTAATATAAAGCAGGACAGAAGGAGTAGTAGGGATATAAAGCAGAGGATAGCGTAGGGTCGAGTCGCCTTCAATAAAAAGAAGTCACTTCTATGCCCGCGAACGGTTAATTTAGAAATTCGAAAAATGTTGTTAAAGGTGTAGATATGTTTGGAGCGCGGCGCTGTAAGGGTGCGAAACATGGACGGTGGATGTTACGAAAGAAAAGGTTAGAAGCGTTCGAAAATTAACGATTAAATCATATATTATTATTCAATGAGCAATATTTAATTGGCCCATCAATAAAAGAATAAAAAGTAAAAGAAACACTATTATAAGTGTACGTTAGGTAGGTACCTATCCTTACAAATTAGACTCAAAAACTCTTGTCTTTTAGTATTATATGTAATAACATAGTTTTAGGTTTTTTTAATTTAGTCTTACGTACCAAATAATAAGTAATATATATGTACTGTCTTTGTGAATAATATTTAGTAATATATAGTATAATTTTGAAATTGTTCTATTTAATTTAATTATTAAATGCCCTTTTGCTTTTTTCCGTCAAGCCGTGATGTTTCTTTAGTTTTTAGTGAAATACAAAGGCTGTAAAAAGAAATTTTTTGCAAAATAACACACTCATATATTTAATCGGCAATCAATAGTGTGACCCAATTAATCCAAAACCAATAAAATGAGATAATTTTTAGTTATAGTAAGTAATCATCGAAATTATCACATCGAATTTTTTGAAAATTTTTAGTGTTTAAATTGGTCCTTATGACTGCACTTTGACTTTGACTGGAATGTTATTAAGTAGCATTATTTGGCTTATTGTCTTGAATGCATCAAAATTATACTTTTATATACGAAAACTTAAAGAACGGATTGTTAAAATGATATTTTTGTTTAAAACTATTTATGTGGTATTGAGAATTCAATCAATGGTATTTTGTTTAATTAGTTTTATTTATCTGAGGTCCTTTATTGTAGACCTTTCAAATGTTTCAATGTTACTTGAAACATATTATTGATAAAGACCATCAATTTAGCAATTTACTCCAGTTACTAGATTGGGATCGCGTTTTCGAACTCGTTAGTTCTCATTAGCACGCAACATCAATGACCCTCTAAACCGAAGTTAATATAATGTCATACATTCTAGAGATATGTTGTTGTTGGTTCCAGTTACAGGCAATGCTAAACTTGAAGTAATTCATAGTTGAGAAGATGTTATAACTTGTAACCATAAGAATAATCGAGAAAAATCTTAATGCCTTTTGTCATAGCTTTGATTTCGCAAGGGCCATATTTATACAAAATATAATACTTATCTCTTATAAGCCTTTTTCGAATCACTGTATGTTTACATATGTATTAAANTAGTTAATTTATGTTAGATAAGTAAAGAGGAGAGAATTCAAGTAACACCGAATTTTTAAATTATTATTTAACTGCCATAAACTATTTAATTATTAATAATAATTTATTGACATAGAGTGCATATAAGTTGTGTACATGTTTGTAATTGTTAAGTTTTATTTTGTTTTGTACATTTTATACAACACATGTGATTCGGTTAGGAGTATTTTAATTTTCGTTTTTTCCTATACAATCACGAAAAAGTAAGTCGAAAAACAAACCGAAGAAAAAAAAATCCATTTTTGGGTCGTCAAAACAAAAAATATGCTCTTGGTATTTTTTTCTATCGTGGCCATCGACGAACGAGCAGCTATTAATAAAGGGATAATAGAAATTCAATTGCGAAAAAGAAAAGAAAAATGAAAAAAGTTTGTTATGTATCTTATTATCGAAATAAAAATAAATTTTTCTATCTCTCTGAAACAGTACCTTTTTCTGGATATAAGTTACCCTACGTCCTTTTCTGTATCCCTGACAATGTGTGCACAAAAATTCATAATGATTAGTTGAGTAATTAAGGTGTGAAATGGTAATAAACAAACTCACATTCGCATTTATTATATCAGTTAAGATTTCTAATTGCCCTAAATAAAAACAATTGTTGGGACCGATAAATAATTAACAAAAGTACCCTAACAATTTTTGTCACTTTTTCTTCATGTTTGTGAAGTTTCATTGTAATCAGTTCATTCGTTTTCAATATTAGTCTGTACACAGAGGCAGACAGACAATTAGACAATAAAAATGGACAGACAGACACACGAATGATCCTATAAGGATTCTGTTTTTCATTCATTTCATACGGAACCCTAAACCGAGAACCAATATAACATTGTAGTTAAAAAAAACAAGAACAATTTTTATTTATTTTTTCAAAATCTTAGGTTCACTAGTTTTTTAACAAAAACAAATTGATCAATTTTCATCTATTTTCTTAAATAATTTTAAAAATACTACTTATTTTAAAATTTTTAGAGCCTTACAACAAGCCTTTTCACTTGATATGTCACACGGTACAGTTTGTAAAACTTTTTTTTTAATTTCCTCTTGGTTCCCAAAAACGACCCCCATGTTTAATATTAATTTATTTACGTTATGCGTCTGTGTTTGGGTCACAGACATTTATACGTATACTAAATTTCAACTTAATCGGTCCAGTAGATTTGGAGAAAATTGATAGACTGTGACAGACGAACAGACAGATACACGAGTGATCCCATAAGGGTTCCGTTTTTCGTTCAGACGTACAAAACCCCAAAAACAGGTCGTTTACGCCTTAATAGGGCATCAATAACCATATGAATTTAAAATGGACGAGTTATTTCGATATACAGATACACGCTTCAGAATTTTAACTATCTGTGCTTACATTAAAAAGGTCTTCCTAACGTTTCGCTAGCAGGACCTCTGAAGCTCGGTACGATGACGGTCTTTAGATCCGAACCAGGATAGCACTAGTTCACCAAGTGGCCGAGAAAGACATTACTAAGTTGTCGATTTCGAGTTTAAGAAGTAAATTGCTATTTTGGCCTTTACCTTAAGAGACAATTCTCTTGATTGTATTTTTACCATTTATTCTTTTTTGTTTATTTCAGACCCCTGTGCCATTCTACGCCGATCCAAATAGATTCACCACTCCTGTTTGGCAAGCCGACCCTGCTCAAGGTAAAAATGCAATGATGTTATTTTCAAGGACTTATTTTTACAATTTCATCGAAGCGTATTAAAACGTCCATTTCTAAAGTTGTTTCAGGATGGCCGCAAGGACAGTTCATTCAGCAAATTTCTGCAGCTCCTCAAGCTCCATTAGAAGGATACACTCAGCAATATCCTAACGGTATTTATCAAACAACTTATCAACAGCCGGGGTTTGAAGCGAACACCTTTTACACCACTGGGCCCGTTCAGGTGGTAACGAACGCCGCCAGACCTCCCAGTGTTCCGGATCAATCTCAATTAACACCCAGACCGAACAGCACTTATTCACATACTCCCAGCCCCGTGCCATCCCAGCCCCAGCAGCCAAATCAGAGAAATCAGTATCAACAGGAATACGTTTCCACAAATCAGAACTACGTAACGCCAGCAACAACTCCTGGTGGAACGGTGGAAAGTTCTCAGCAATCCGGTGGAATGTCGAGACCCAGTTCAGTAAATTCCACAGTAGCTGCTCCAGCCAGTGGTCAAAGTTTCCAGCAAAGCAACGCGGGATTCATTCCGATATCGAGTTCGAGTTTTAGTCCTGGTTCTAATCAGAATCCAAATTTCGTTAATAGCGGCATGTCGACGAATTCGGGAAACGAGATGCCTGGGTACCCACCAGTGAACAGCCACCCGCAGCTAGCTTCACACAATTATAATGGTGGGTACCCAGGCAACGAATGCGGAAATGAAAACATTGCGATCCAAAACAATCAGAACGAAGAGCAGCAGCATCATCATCACCATCATCCACACCATCATCATTGGACATCTAACAATCATCAATGGAAACCAAATTCTGAAAGTGCCAAATCTGGCGAGTCGGATATGCAAAATTACGGCAATAATAGTCCTCTCAATCACAGACAATCTACCAATGAACAGCACGGTGTCGAATCTCCCCAGAAAAGAGAGCTGCAAAATCAGTATTCGCAAATAGACCGGATAGATTTGAATACTAGGATAAAAACGATGATATTAAACAAGCAGCAACAGTTAGACAGTAAGGACGAGGCGCAAAACGATAATCAAAACAAAACCGGTCATTTTTTATCGTATAGCCACCATCGTCACCGCAATGATAATATAGGTGGCGGTGGTGGCGTTTCTGACGATTCATCATCATCTTTTCGGAAGAATTCCACAACCATCCAGCCGAAAACTTTATCAAAACAACTTGATTCTTTCAACTACGCCAATCAGTCGAATTTTCATTACGACCATCCTCCTTCCCCAACTATACACGAATGTTTACCGAACAAAGTTAATTTTCAACCCCAGCTGGCCTCCATTCCCAGTGACAGCGATGCTTCATCAGGAATCTGTAAGGATGAGTTGAATACAAACGAAAAAAACTACACCGATCGCATTCTAACTAAAAGCAACATCACACCCAAATTATCAACTCCGTGCAAAAGTATTCCGTCAAACTACAAGACAGAAATGAGCAATGACGAGAAAACAGTTAAAAGCGAATTTAAGTTTTCCGAAATTAGCTTAAGTTCTGAAACAGAATCATGCTATTCAACGCCTGAGAAATCAGTTGAATATTCACCGAGAAAATTAACAGATATTTACAATTCTCCTGATGTGTTAAAAACTGGACAGGCTGAAGTAATACCAGAATGTAATTGTTTTCCTTCCAATATGGGGCCTCCTGAACCAGGATCTTTCTACACTCATCTAGGTATTGGTTTAATAGTAATTATATTTTGCGATTTCCAATGTATCTGGTTATAAGTTTAATAAAGATAAAAAAGTAGCAAAAAACGTATAAAGGAAGAAAGCAGAAATTTGTTCTTATTAAAAGACTAAAAGTTTGCGAGACACATTGGAATTTTGTCAGTGGTTTAAAAGATTAAATGTTGTATTGACTTTTAAATCTGGGTTTATTTTTTTAGGATCATCTCACAGCCTTAGCGGATTAAGAAAACATCTAGAAGAACGAACCGGTTTGGTCGGTTCTTCGATCAGAATTGAGAAAGTGTGTTATAGTGGGAAAGAAGGCAAAACACCCCAGGGTTGTCCGATAGCGAAATGGGTACTGTCTTTTTTCGTTATGTGTTATGTGGGAGTTTTGTAAAAATGAAATTTTCCTTCCAAAAAAAAAAAAAATATTGTATTTCTAGATAATAAGAAGATCTGGTCTTGAAGAGAAGTACTTGGTCATTGTAAAACATCGACAAGGCCACTTTTGCTCTTCGGCCTTTATAGTTGTGTGTATCGTAGTTTGGGAAGGTTTGGATAGTAACGACGCCGATGACATGTACTCGACGCTCTGTCACAAACTGAATAAGTTTGGTACCCCGACAGCTCGCCGTTGTGGCACGAACGATACCAGAACCTGCGCTTGTCAAGGTTTGGATCCTGACCTATGCGGTGCGAGTTTTTCATTCGGTTGTTCTTGGAGCATGTATTACAACGGCTGCAAATACGCTCGTTCAAAACTTATCAGAAAATTCAAGTTAACCGAGCAAACTGAAGAAAAAGAACTGGAAGAAAAGTTTCAAGCCCTTGCAAATCATATATCTCCCATGTATAAAAATCTCGCACCGAAATCGTTCGATAATCAGTGTCAGTATGAAGAAACAGCTTCCGAGTGTAGATTGGGACTGAATCCTGGGAGACCTTTTTCTGGTGTGACCGCGTGTTTGGATTTTTGCGCACACGCCCATAAAGACTCCCATAACATGAACAATGGCTGCACCGTGGTTGTTAGTTTGACAAAACACCGCGATCTCAATAAAGCTGAAGACGAACAACTCCACGTGCTTCCTCTATATACCATTGACAAGACTGATGAATTAGGTTCCGAAGACAAACAACGTGAGAAGATGAATAATGGCAGTATCGAAGTCCTTAACAAGTAATTCGGTGTAATAAATTCGTTGTTTTCATTCAATTAATCAAACTCTTGTTTTAGATACCAGTGTGAGGTGCGTTTAAGGAATGAACCTCAGCAACCATGTCGAAGAAGAAAAAGAAAAGATGATGGAAACGAGAAAAGCAAAGCAGAAAGTCCCAAGAAGAATGGCGTTTCTGTAAAGGACCAAAACACATCTCCATCATCTGCCTACCACCACCCGCATCATCAACAAACTTTCCTCAACAATAAGCACGAACTTCAAAGCGATCAAGTTACAAGTACAGTATTTGATGCATCCAGTAGAAAACACGGTAAAAATAGTAAGTTAATAAGTAACAGTAGAAAAGGACCTCAGTTTTCTTGGAACTCTTCTTCCGCATCCAAAACTCATTTGGACAACGACATTTACAAATCCGAAAATTTTGTTAGTAGTAGTACGACGTTCCCATTACTAAGAAAAGATCAATTCAACACTGCCTTTAATTTTACATATCCAAATTCAGGACTACACAGCAGTATTCCTCCCTCAAACGGTTTCGACAGTTATAATTTGAATGCTCAATCGTATCAAATGGCAGGACATTTTTCCAACATTAACTCGAATCAAAATAAAAATACGTCGAATATATTCAGTCATACTCCTACAGGTGGGCAGAGTTACCATTCTAATAATGTAAGTTTGAATCCCGTACCGAACAATTATCCCAACCATGAAAACAGCCCTTTTATTCAAAACGGTCCCTTTTCTCAAAACGGCTACTTCGGTCTTTCAAAATTAAATTATGTGAACGATATGAGAACCAATACGCCAACTAGCCAAATCATGTGGGCTTCTAACGAATACAGCGGGTACCATCATAATGGGTTTAACAAACTAACAAACGATTACTTTCCATATTCGACACCGCGCAGTCAAGAACAACTTCAATATGGTAACGGATTTATTTCGAGTCCACCAGATTCCTATGTTTTGAGGAATCCGTTTGAAGATTTTCCAAATTTCGGTTACAATTTTCAGCCACCGTTCAGTAGCTCTCCGTTAAAGCCACCCGACAGTCCTAATACCACAACAGTTCAACCCAAACTTCTCGGAACGGTCAGTGAAGTCATTGACAATGCTGAATCGTTCCTTGATTCGCAAGTCGGTGGTGTAGCCATTGCTTTGACTCACGGCAGTATTCTTTTCGAGTGCGCCAAACACGAACTGCATGCCACAACGGCATTGAAAAAACCTAATCGTCAAAATCCGACCAGAATCTCCCTGGTATTTTATCAACACAGAAATATGAATAGGGCTAAGCATGGTTGGGACGAGTACGAGGAGAAATTAAAGTTAAGGAAAATGGATTCGGCAAATTTGGTGCCGGAAGGGAAAGAAAAAGAAAATGCTCCCGAAGTTAAGAGTAAAGATACAGAGACAAAGAGAGCTGGAGATGTATTTCCCAGAGTTTACACATTACCCACCGTATCTGTTACCACATTATTTCCCATGTACCCGTGTACAGTGACTGGTCCTTATGTAAATGGTAGTACAAATGGATGACCAAAATCTTGGCCTTACTGGCAGGGCGTTTATATATAATAATACAACAAGGAAATTAAAATTACATAACAGGCAAGATCTTGGCCTCACTATATTTACATACGTTAGTGTGTGTTCGAAAAAGCTTTTTTCTTATTCAAGCTCGATTAGTTGATGTATGTCAAACAGCTAATTATTCTCAAATCTGTTTCATGATTGAATTATTAAAATGGGCCAAGTTGTAGAGTTTACAAAAGAATAACGTGGAATATATTACTATTTTATTCAAATAACTTCAACTTTGATAATCTTCTACTATGGATCACTGTGTAGGGAAATAAATTGTCGAGCCAACCTATACTTTTTTGATACGTAAGGTATGAAAATTAAAAATTAAGAAAAATCGTTATTACTATACATCTGTAGTTTAATAGAATTATTATATATAAAGTATTAATGTGA